ACTGATAAAAGAAATAATACTCAAGGGAATGACATGTGGTCTGAGATCTGCAAACATTACTGATAAAAGAAATAATACTCGATAGAAAGACATGTGGTCTTACTTTGCATTCTTTACAGAGGCCRCCCTCAAACAATGGATGTTTGGCACAGACTTTGAGATCCCCACAACCTAAACATATTTCTAAAGTAAATAGTAAAATAAGAATGCAGTCAGATTTAAGAGAAATATCTTCATTGCGGATAACGAAGGATTCTGAAAAGAGCTGGGGAGCGAGAGTGTATCACGCGCGTTTTGGCGCGAAAATATTCCCGCCAAAATTAACCGGAAGCTTATGAAATATTCATACCTTCTAGCTTCCGTTTTCCGTCTAATACTTCATCAAATAATGCTGCAGAGACAATAAGAAAATCTATGTTTACTTGTTGACCCTATTATAATAGAATAATCAAATAATGCTGCAGAGACAATAAGAAAATCTATGTTTACTCGTTGACCCTTTACCATCTCATTGAAAAAACAACTGTTGAACGTTTGACCACGACACCGAGTACTGAAGAAGACCTAAGCGTTCGGTTGAAAATGTTACAGGTCTCGAAAGAGCTTTGTGTTGTTGTCAAGAGTTAAACTAACATTTTATTAATTTTCTACTCACATACAATGGCGGATGTGACGATACAACCTGTGATAATGGTTGTGAGAGACGACGTGTGTAATTGTAGTTTTGTATCACGGAATAAAGCGAATGATAAACTCAGTGAGGTACGCTACCTTTGACATCACTGGCGAGGTTTGGTTCATTGACTGGTTTACCAAAGCGAACCTTTGACTTGTCTGCTCCGTCAGATTCATCATCAGCATCATCATCTTCATCGCTACCAGATGGTATTACTGAGCATCGAACGTTCATCTCCTCTAACAACAAATTATCATAAAAGCAAATAAGAAAATGGGAAAACCTTGTGCCCAAGCTAAAATGGTCTTTTTGCCCCACTTTCACACACACACTACCACCACATTTTCCCCTTTTCGTTTCTTTATTATTGTTAGTTAAATTGTAAATTAAATTGTCAGTTTTCTTAGTTATTTGTAACTTCTCAATGTAATAGAGTGCATTTCTTATACCCGTGAAATAGTTTTTAAACAAAATAGTGCAAATTAGTACAAAACCCATTGTCTTCTTTTGTTCTATTAGCACTATTTTGTACTAAATCGTGCTATCTATTTCACGGGTATATTATTTGCACTCTATATCGCCTCCCGCTTAGATTTAGTCTAATTAGTTTAGTGCTATTTGCGGGAGGGTGATACATTTTGTAAATATGACAATCTTTGATTCGTAAAATATACTTAAAACTTGAACTAAACTTGAAACTTAAATATTCTATGCGTGTTTTACTTCTCGACTCACATACTGTTTTCTTACGGAGGAAGGAAACGAAAGTACCCAGAGAAACCCTCGTGGTAAGGGAGAGAACAACACATCAAACAAACTCACGGCTCGACTCACACATGATGTTTGCAGGGCTCGAACGAGTGAGTCAGGACTTGTAATGGAGAAAAACGAACATTTTACCATTATAGAATCCATGTCAAAGATAATCTGAATATATTTTTTTTATGACCATGGTACCTTCT